GGGTTTGGCCATGGTCCCCCATATATACCGCGGACCCTAGAATCCTTTTCCATCGCTCTGTCTCCTGAACCTCAAAAAGAAACGTTCTCTCCGTATCAGGGCTGTTGACTAGAGTGGCGAAGTCTAGCCTGAAAGTTCTCCAGTGGAAATCATCTAAATCCCTCTTGGGCGTGTGGGGAGTGAGGGTCACTAGGCTCTTTCTTTTCCTGCCTCAGTTTCCCCTTGTATAATAATGGGTTCAGATGGTGGTCTCTCAGGGAGCCCCACTGTGTCAGTCTCCATTAGGCCTCCTTCCCCGTGGCCCACGTCTGCGAGGACAGCTGCCTCCTGTCCCTATCCCATGAGGGCGGAATCTTCTCTCTTCTTCACCGAGCCAACAGGTGTCACCAGCCCCAAATCCTAGCAGTGGAAGGGATGGGAGACGGGCGGTCACTCTTTCAAACCCAGTTCCTTCCTCATTAAGCCTTGGAGATCCATAACACCCTGGCCCAGCAGGACGCTCAACTTGGGTACTTCGGAGGACGAGAGACTCTGGCTTCCTGTTCACCGGGGCCATCAAGGATGGTGAGATGGAGGAAGGGTGAAGGCGGAGGTGGAATTGGCCTCTAAGCTCCCAGGACACCTTCTTGGGCCGACACATTTGCAAGGAAGAGAATCATGTTTGCCTCTTCCAGGGAGGGAGCTGGCCACAGGTCACGCTGAATTCGGCGAGGGGCTCAGCCAGTGAACCAGTGGGAGGGCCAGAACACTGTCCCACTCTCGGATGGTGGGCTCCGGCTTCCGTGCCTCTGACCTTCGGGCGTGCAGGACAGCGAGGCGGGCACTTCAGGAACAAGGTGGGGCAGAAAGGCCCTTTTCTCAGCTCAGATAAAATCCTCTGTGGACAGTGTGTTTATTCGAGGTCTCTCTGGGCTAAAAACGCCTCTAAAATTCTTAGAGGGGCGCGTTGGTTTCTTCCGGTTTCTCACTGTCAGCCCGTCTAGGAAGAATTGGGAAGAGGCTGCAGAGCGAGCTGCTGACACCAGGGGGCAGCACCAACCAGGAGCCGCGGGCGGGCCCGCGGGCAGATGGGAAAACGGAGGAGGGTCGCTGTCAAAGCCGGGCAGAGCGGGCAGTTTGCGGCCGCGTTCTCACCGCGTGGTGGCTGCAGCGCCCCGGGGGCGGGGTGGGGTGGAGTGATACTCCAGGGCCTCGAGAGGCCCTGGGTCCCGAACGCAGCTTGGAGAGTCGTCCCCCCTTCCCCCCTGACCCCCAACCGCACAGTCCCCTCCCTGAGTCGCCTTCGCGCCTCTGCGCTGGGTCCCAGCTGCGAGCCTGAGTTCGGCTGCGGGAACCGCGCGGTCGAGTCCCAGACAAAGGCCAGGCCGCTCCCTGGCCCAATTAAGCCACCCGCCTCCCAGCTTTCATTGTTCCCGGGGTCGCCAATTAGCCCAGGCGCCCCGCGTCCCGCCGCTCCGGTGTCCCAAGGCCTCCTTAACCCTTCAGGGCCTGGCACCAGGCGCCCTAGACGGCAGAATCCCCAGCGGACGAGTGTGGAGGGCTTGCTGACCTGCTGTGTCGCCGCGAGGCCCTGTGCGTTGGGACTGCGGGCTGTGAGAGGGAATTGTACGTGTCGGCGTGGGATTGTGAGTGTGATTCACAGGGGAGCTTGGAGGCTAGGGGTGTGGGTGTCGGGGGCTCCGTGAGACCCCTAGCGGCTGGGCAGCGAGGAGTGCGAGACCTAGGGGACCTCGTTTCCTGTTCTGCCAATCCGAGTCTCCCGAGCCCTCAAGTCATCCCCCTACCCCTACCCCGACCCCCGCCAACCCAACCCCCAAAAAGGCTGCCGTGGAAAATCTTGAGCATCAGTGGCCTGTCCTCCCCAAGGGCCCAGAACTGGGACCCGCCTCCGCAGCTTACCGCGAATGCCCACGCAGGCCACCCCTTGCAGACAGAGGGTCGCGTTCAGCTTGGTGCTCCCCATGACACCCACAGGTGAAAGCCCCAGCTGCAGGCCCCTCCCCCCCCCCCCCCCCCGACGGGCCGCCCGGGGCGGCAGCGCCCCAACCGCGCGCACAGCACGCACGCACGCGCGCGCGCGCGCCGGGTGCCAAACTCCCGGTCGCCTCCCCTGCCCCCCCTTCCTTTTCCCGGTTATAGGACGGTTCAAGGGACAGAGTCTCGATGAAACCGAGGTTTAAACTCTGAGCCTGCCTTTCTCACTGCTCTAGGAAGTACCCCAAATCCAATCCCACTCTGTCCTCTCCTTCGCCGTCCTGCACCCCAAAGTCCGCAGCACCAGCCCGGCATACAAGGTCCGTCGAGGGGCCAAGGGCTCCGTGCTCTAGGGCCTGGGCGGCAGAGGGGAGACCTGTGAGCGCCCGGGGTAAGGGGCAAAGGTTGAGGAGCCTGAGCTCCGGGTCCTCTCTGGGCACTCCCCCAGGAGGACCCTTGGCAGTGCAGCCTGGTCACCCTCACTGAATACGTTCCTGTCTCCGTCTGAACGCGCCGGGGACTTTGATTTGCCCTTGGAGCTCCTTTTGGGTTCTCTGGAGGCACGGACCCGCTCACCCCACCTCTCACTCATTCCTGAAGCACCAGGTTCCCAGAGCCGACGGCCGCCTCTCTTCGCCAGGCCCCTGCTTTTGGTACCTTCCTCAGCTCCCGGCCAGGAACGGACCTGGAGCGAGCCCTGTCCGGGGACCGTGGCAACTCTCCATATGCCCACCAGATGGCGCTCTAGGCCAGGGGCAGGGCTGCAGCCGGACAGCCCGCCCCGGGCTAGAGCTGGGGTGGACCGAGAGCCGCAGCAAGAGCGGCACGGAGGCAGAGCCACAGACTACCGTAGATCCAGGCCCAGAGACGGGCACAGGCAGACAGCCAAGAGACCGAGGCGCTCCGCGGAGCCCGAAGGAAGCTCTGGACAGCGGCTGCAGACACAAGGATGGGATTGTCCTAGGCTCGGGATGGGGGCTTCCCTTCTCCTCGGGGCCACCCTGCCGGGCCAGCTCTCCGACCTGCGAAGCCCCGGCTGCAAACACCCACCGGCCGCCTTCTGTGTGCCGGGCGGGCTAGGGCCCTTGCGATCCCTCCCGGGGCAGGAGGCCGCCTGACTCCCGCCTTCCGGACGTCTCAGAAGCGGGGCTGTGGGCTTGGACCCGTCGCGCGCCGGACGAACTGCTTTGCCCGGCGGGGCCCCCACGAGGGTGCGGGGTGGGGAGATAGCAGGTTGAGGCGGCTCCCGGATGCTGGGCGGGATCCAGTGGGCCTCCCGCCGGGAGGTGCACTGAGGCGCCTTCCTCCCCCACCCGTCTTCAGGGGCAGGATGGGCCCCCGGTCCCCCACTGCCACCCCGGGGCAAGACTTGCGGAGCTGCTTCCCCAGGGTCCTGCCTCCGTGGGCCCCGGTGCCAGAAGCCCTGGGGAGGCTTCGGGTCTGCGTTGTTCCAGTGGGAAGCTGTGGGGACTGGAGAGGGCACAGGGGTCAGCCTGAGAATCTCTCCCTCGGGTTTAAAAGCCACCAAGGTTCCGGGTCAGGTTTGAATGGGGACGGGCGAGTGTGAGGCCCAATGTCCTATTGCCAGTTTGATTCGGGCCCGAGGTTTGGAAGGCTGATTCCAGCTGACGCTTAAAGTCCCCAGGTGAGC